ACGCCTTGCAGAGATCTTCTTTTATAGTGTCTCCTCTAATTACATCTGTCCACTGGCCCAGCTGCTCCCTGATAGCTTTGCTTGGCTTCAGTGAAGATGGCTCGTCTCTCCTCCCCGGAGAGTTTTAAATAAAAGATCTGTGTGTCTCTGTGTGGGGATAAGAGGAGGAAGGGATGAGGGACTGGCTTTTTTCTTCCTTTCTTTTTTCTTTTTTAATTTGCTGCCTCTATGTGAGATGGGGATATGGGTGGCCAGCCTGAATCAATGTGATAGCTTTGTGGTGACACCTTGAGGATAAAGGAAGGTTTGGGATGGTGGCAAGCTCTGGTTTAGAATGACTTCATACAACTCTGGAGAGCCAGGATCGCTGTCCTCCGAGGCCCATGATGTTTTCTGATGTAGGAGGACGGCACATTATCCTACAAGCAGGCAAAAATAATTTCATCCTAGAGACCAGATCACAGGTAGTGGTTTTTAAAAGTAAGTTTTGTTGTCCGTTTTTGCACATATTCTTTCTGTTTGCATTTTTCCTTTTCTAATTCCCAGCCTCACCATCACATGCAGAGAATGCTTGGTGTCCTGGTGCTATGAATAAAGGAACGCTTCCCAATAGAATCTAGCAAGACTACCAAATGAAAAACTACGGGGATTTCTGGAGGCCAGCGAGCATAGCCTGTAGCTGGGAAATGCCTTCAGCGGCAGGGGGCAGGGTGCTCAGGCATCAGGACTGGCGCCACACGGTGTCTTAAAGGTCAAGTTCATCCTGCCTACGGAGTCCTGCCAACCGCAGCAGCCGATCCAAGACAGTATTGATAAGGAACAAAGACAGTATTGATGAGGATGACAGGGATATGCATATTTTAAATTCCCTTCCGCTTTCCAAGTTTGACTCTTCAGTGGCCAAATCTTATTTTCCGTGCTTTGTCCAAGCATTCCCTGTGACATCAGAGATTCCCAGTTAGGTGTCTGCACACAAGCAGATGGGGGCAAACCTTAAATATTAAAAGGTAAAAGTCTTTCTTAACTTAATGATATTGAAATACTAAAAGTGTTTAAATCGAGCATACTGTTTGGCTTAAAAATTCTACCTTTGGGAATTAAAGAACTGAGTAGACAAGGATATAAGTTTGTATAGGCCTGTGTTTAAGAATGTGGACCCTGGGGTCAGCTGACGTGGGTCCCAGTCTTGCCTCTACTACTTATTAGTTGTGTCACTGTTGTTGTGTCATTCAACTTTTCTGCCTTGTCAATGTCCCTACCTCATAGGGCCTGTGCTTTCCCAAGAAAGAAATGACTTAACATGCAGAAGATGCGTAGGATGGTTTCGGGCGCATAGGGTTTGTTATCAATAGTAGGACAACTGGAAATAGCCTCATATGCATTGATTTAATGAAACAAAATGTGTTCTGCTTTCAAGATATCACATAGTATAAGAAAGACAATTAGGTTACATGATAGTGTGTTAAGTCTGAATTCTAAAGAGTTGCATGTCCAAAGATTATAGTTGTTTTTGTTGTTTATTTTTATTATTATTATTATTTTTTTGGTAATGAATTATAGACTACATTTTCCCCTTCGACCATTGCTGTTTTCTAAATAATCTACAAAGGAAATGTATAACATACTAAACATTGCCTTTTTAACGTCTTCAGAGTAACAGCAGCTAACATTTATTGAAAGCTTACAATGGAGATCAGGTTATATGAATACATGCATTGCTTGCACTGTCCCTATGAGGCAGGTGCTATGATTATCATCTCCATTTCACAATTAAGGAACTGAGTCACAGAGAGGCCCTATCTGTCTCGGGATCTGTATTTTTAGATTAGGTACTCTGTTTGTATGATTTCAGTTCCAACAGAGCAATGAACTACAGCTTCCACAACAATACCCTCATTGCAGTCACTGTTTAAAGGAAATGAATAAAGAGTGCCTCCCCTTCCCTGTATCTGTGTTGCCAGCTAATAGATAAATTGGGGGATGGGGGGGTCAGGTCTCCCACCTTCCTCTTAGTTATCTTGCTTCAGCAAATGGGGGAAGTACATCAGGTGATGCAGTAAAATTGACTTTTCTGTGTAGCCCTTAAGTCAAGTGTGTTGACTTTACATTGCATTAACCAAACTGGAAATAGTTATAGTTTTGCAAATCATAAACTGAAGTAGTTGAGAAGTAGCATTTTTTTTTCTCTTTTGTATTATTCAAATAATCCTGAATGCATCTATTGGGTACCCTGAATGAGCCTTCTAATCTCTTTCATGTGTGCAGAAGATAAGTTCAAAAAGTATAAGAACACGGTGACAGGAGGGTCTGCAAATACGTAAGAGTCAATTATTTAGTTCCTGTAGCAATGAAGTGTCCCTTCAGTTCAGAGAACTTAATTACCACGGATCAAAAGCATCAGGAGGAAACAGTGGATTTTTGGCAATTGTCTGTTTCTCTTGTAGAATTTCCTTTTTTTGTGCAGGCAGCTAACTTACGATTGATGGCTATTGTGTATCCTTTAGGAAATCAAAATGGGATGTTTCCCAGTAATAATTTTACATTAGGAAATGATATCGGAAATCTGGTGGCTGCAGCCACAATATCTATTTTTAAAAATATTTTTTTATTGATTTCAGAGAGGAAGGGAGAAGGAGAGAGAGACAGAAGCATCAGTGATCAGAGAGAATCAGTGATGGGCTGCCTCCTGCACGCCCCACTCTGGGGACTGAGCCTGCAACCCCAGGCATGTGCCCTGACCAGGAATGGAACTGTTACCTCCTGGTTCATAGGTCGATGCTCAAACACTGAGCCATGCTAGCCAGGCACACAGTATCTATTTTTGAAAATCTTCCACCATTATGATTAAATACCAACCTGGTAATTTACTAGTATACAAAGCTGGTTGAACGAGGCTGTCCAGACTAGCGTGTTTCTGGGTACCACTGCCAGCTGTGCATCCTTGGGACTAAAATACGAATTTAGCCAGTGCCTTTCTCAGAGGCAACTAATTAGGTTCGGGGAGCTTCTGGAGTTCAATTTATCATTAGATAAAGTCTCTGAAATCCAGAAGGACTAGCCTGGCTCATCTTGATAAATTGCCAGCCTAATCCTCCCAGAATTCTGCTGGGAAGTGAAATTCACTACTGTCTCCTGTGCTCAGAGATCATTCTTGATCTCTTTCCCAGAAGAGGCTGGACTTCCTGAGAGGTACTGGCAGCCAGGGGAGGAGGGATTGCTCTCCTTGCTGCTGCTTACCTTCCCCTCTAGCATATCTACTAGTAACACAACCTGTCAGCGACAGGATCTGCTCAGCAGTGGGCCAGTCTGGCCACATCTTGCACATGTGGCTCATCTTGCCAGTTAGCGGGATGGTAGAACTCTCCCGTGTCCCCGTGTTCCCCACTGCCTTGCTAAGGATGCAGCATGGTTCATGGAAGTGGCACGAGGATTTGGGCATGATTTGTCACTCCCAAACCTTGCACAAATGAGCCTTGGTCTCCTCAATTGTGGAGCAGCGAGATTAAAGCCTGCATTACAAAGTTGTCAAAAATATGAAGAGTGGAAAGCATCTCCTTTAGGGCCTGGAACCTACTAGGCACTCGTGAAGTCGTTTTTATTATAATCACATTGTTCACGGCCTGTTAGAAACTTAGGGGATTTAAGTTATACATTTTTTTGCCCTAGCTGTTTGGCTCAGTGGATAGAGCGTTGATCTGTGGACTGAAGGATCCCAGGTTCGATACCGGCTAAGGGCACATGCCTGAGTTGTGAACTCGATCCCCAGTATGGAATGTGCTGGAAGCAGCCAATCAATGATTCTCTCTCATTATTGATGTTTCTCCCCCACCTCCCTCTTTCTCCCTCTCTCCCTTTCTCCCTTTTTCCCTCCTTCCCTCTTCCTTCCTCTCTGAAATAAAGGAAAAAAATATATATACATATATATATATATTTTTTTTTTAATTATTCATTTTTTTCCTCAACTCACTAATGTGAGCTGGCTCTGGGTTCTAGACCAGAGATTCAGGAGTTGTGCTGTAGGAGTTGAGAGACAAGGTCAAATAACTTGTACACCTTGGTTTGCTTTCTGAAAGCAAATGGAATTTCCTCTTTTATTTCATCTCTTTCTTCTTCCCACTTATTCCCTCTCGCCTCTCTCTTCCCCTCCCCTTCACTTCCCCAGGCAAGCCATGGGATATTTTCATTACCATTTCAGACCCACATATTTATTGTTGTTGGAAACGGGATTCACATTGATTATTCTACCACTCTTGTAATTACATGCCAAACTCTAGTCTGTACTCAAGACATAATGCAATCCCCCGAAACCAATGACCAATCCTCCCACCACCACCACCACCCCAAAAATCACCTAAAATTTCCAATTTCCCTTTAATTCAGAGGTTCCGTCACTGTGACCTTTTTTTCGTTCTGCTTGGAAGCCTTCCATGCCTGCTTTTCGTTAAGGTTCTGTTTTATAGCAGAACTGCAGCCGCAGTCAGAGCAAGGCAATAAGCAGATAGCGGCGGTTCCAACGCTTCTCTGGAGCCCAGGCTTGCTTCCTGACTGCCTCCAACTGGCTGATCATCTCCAGACCCCGAAGTGCCAAATGCACGTGTGGCTAGCTGACTACAGAAGCCCGGAGATGAACTCTCTGGGGAAAAACTACTGGAGTGGTTTTGCCTGCAGCTCGGCCGGCCCGTGGGTGCTGTGGGGAGGGCCTGTGACTCACAGGGTGGATGCATGTGTCTCCCCCACGTGGGCCACTGTGGGTAGAGCCCGCTGGACGCCGGACATCTGTGTGCAGCCAGCCTCCTGTGCTGCTGGGCTGTGCTTACGAACCATGTCCCTGTGTGTGTGCCTTCCCTTGGCTGCTGCGGGGAACACGGGCCGGGAGCTCTGGAATCTTGGCAGGTGCGGAGTCAGAGTGCACAGGCAGGCCGCCAGGGCCCGGGGGGGCGGGCGCTGGCCATGGGCCTGGGCTTCCTTCCCCTCACGCTTCTCCCCCTGTTGTTTTGCAGGTAGCGAAGCCGACTTCAGCTCCTCAAGCAGCACAGGCAGCATTTCCGCGCCTGAGGTCCACATGTCTGCGGCGGGAAGCAAGCGCTCCTCGTTCTCACGCAAGTAGGCACTGTCTCCCGCCCTGTGGTTAGTAAGACCCTGTCCGCGGGCGGCTTACCTGGACTTGATGCTTCTAGAGAGCCACCCAGAGGACTGTGCAGCTGTATCTTGGTCAGTGAGTGGGGTTTGTGGGGTTTTTTAGGGATTAGAAACGGGAGTTTTGCTCTGCCTGTCCTCCTGTGGCCACGTGGCGGCGTGGCCTCTGGCACCTCTCAGCCAGCCTTCGGCTCTGGGTCCAATCCACGTTCTCTTCCTCTCTCACCTGTGTGCTCACTCACCTGGGCATCCAGCTAGCCTTCCAGGCTCCACCCGCCTCCCCTCGGGAATCTGGATTACGAATTCACCCTTTCTTTCTTCCAGCTGAGCTCCCTTTTCTTTATTTTGGTGCAAGAAGCATACACTATATATAAGCATAAATATTGGTCATCGCGATATGTACTTGGGGAAGGAAGTATGACGTTCCTAGGCATGCACGGCCACCTCGGGGAGGGGCACAAGAGCTCAGTGTGTGGGCTCTGGGGTCAGGCTGCCTTGGTTTGAACGGCAGTTTTACTTACAGGCTGCATGGCCCTGAGCAAGTAGCTTAGCTTCTCCAAGCCTCAGTCACCTCGTCTGTAAAACAGGGCCACAGTGAGGCCCACCTCATAAGGTTTATTGTCAGGATTAGATTGGCTGATTCAGGTCAAGTGTGGGCTCATAAAGGAAAGGAAGCTCAGCTGGAAGAAAGAAAGGGTGAATCTATAATCTAGATTAATCTGAGGGGAGGCAGGTGGAAACAGGGGAAGTGCTTAGAGCGTAGGAAGCATCAGCAGGGTTCGCCTCGGATGCTGTTTGGGGAGAGGGGAGAGGACTGGGGGACATGGCGCCTCTTCACACTGGGTGGGACAGGGATTCTCTGCCACCATCAGCGACTTGTTCCACAAGTAGATGTGGAGCATCTACTATGAGACAGGTTCTGGAGATGGGGCAGGAAACAAAACGCCAGGAAAATTACATTCCTTCTAGCAGGGAAAGAAAGAATAAGTGCATAAATAATGTAATTATTTTTATTTTTAAAATATATCTTATTGATTTTTTTACAGTGAGGAAGAGAGAGGGAAAGAGAGCTAGAAACATCGATGAGAGAGAAACATCGACCAGTTGCCTCCTGCACACCCCCAACTGGGGATGTGCCCGCAACCAATGTACATGCCCTTGCCCGGTATCGAACCTGGGACACCCCCCCCCCCCCCCCCCCAGTCCGTAGACTGACACTCTATCCACTGAGCCAAACCAATTTCGGCTGTAATTACAGGAGAGTAATGGGGGGTGTGGTGTGTTTTGGGTAGGGGGATTCTGGGAGACTTCTGCGATGAGGTGAGCTCTGGGCAGAGACCTGAACAAAGCGACGGACGATCCATAAGACACTGGGGGGTGATTTGTCTCCAGACTTTGGGGATGCCACGTGGCTCTCCTGGGCCACAGTGTCCAAACGTGTAGGAAAGAGGTTGGACTGCATGTTGTTGTAAGCTCCCTTCCTGGAGGAAAGCTGTCTTGTTCCTAAAACCTGGCATTTCCGGGAGTCAGTTCCCATTCCCCTTGGGGAGGCCGCAGCTTCGGCTGATGTTTACAAACGGACCCGAGTCCCACGGTGTAGAGTTATTCAAAACAAAGCCGAAGCCAGACAAACCTGTAACAAAAGAGCGAAGTCCACGTGAAAAAGCAGTCGTCCTGTTCCCAAACACTATCTGTTTTGGAAATAAAGTGCCTCTGAGATCACAGGACGGTGAATACGAACGTTCTCTGTATAAGTCAGAAGGGGCTCGCTCTGAAAATAACCCATTAATCTAACCCATTCAAGAAATTAGCCCATACCCATGGTACAGGCATCGAAGAGCAGAGAAGCAAAAGGAAAAAAATGTCCTGAAGAAGCATTTCCTTTCAACGAAATTTGTGTTTGTGGTTAAATTCCAAGGTAATGCCAGTAATACTGAGTGACTTGGAGAAAATATGCTAGTCTGGAATTCATGATATCTCTAAGTGGTTAAAAATTGATATGTCAAACATAAAATAGATAAATGTAACTATGTGCAAATCAGGTGTATGTTTCATAGATGGGAAATGGAAGTTGGAAATATTCTATCCATTACCCTCACTTTTTTTTTTTTTTAAATCCTGACCCCAGGAAATGCTTATTGATTTTAGAGAAAAAGAAAGAAAGGAAAGAAAGAAAGAGGGAAGGAGGGAAGAAAAGAGGGAGGGAGGAAGGGAGAAAGAAGAGAAGGAGGGGGGGTGGGGGAGAGAAACATCAGGGAATCAAACCTGCATCCTAGTTATGTGCTCTGATTGGGAATCGAATCTGTAACCTTTCAGTATACAGGACAACACTTTAACTAACTAAGCCACACCAGTCAAGGCCCTAACTTTTTTTTTTTTCTTTTTTTTTAATCTGATGCAGGCATAGAGCACCAAGAGTAGATTTCTATGATGGACTAGCTCAGCATTTCATTGTCTTTGTGACCCACACATTGAGGGCAATTCCTCTAGATGGGCCGGTATCCTTGCTAAATTCTGTAATAGTTTATGATCTGTTTAATTGACTCAATCCTATTAGAAAGGAATTTTCTCTGTGGAGAATTAGCTCCTGGGAGGAAGCATGGCGGGAACATTTGGCAAAGGTGGGGTGGGAGGAATGAGGGACAGGTGGAGTTGGTGAGAGTCCTTTTGATAGGTGATTTTAAAAAACAACACATTAGAGATTTACAAATGGTCTCTTCTTACAGAAGGCCAACACTGGTGTATCTGAGGCATTCTCTTCCTTAAACTAAAACCCTGTCTGATCAGAGGCAGACTGACGTGAGAAGAGAAGGGCTTGGGATTTGGAGTCAGACAGTCCTGCACCTGAGTTCAGCCTCCATTGTTTATTAGGGGCATGACCCGAGCCCTGGGCCTCAGTTTCCTCTCCTGGAAAATGGGGTAATCATGGCCTCTACCTCATGCTGCCGTTGCTGATGGTAGTGGTGCCGATTATGGTGATGGTGATCAAACCAATTTGCTAGGGCTGCCATGACAAAATACCACATCGAAGTAGCTTAAATGATAGAAATTTACTTTCTCACCATTTTGGAGACGATTAGTATGAGATGGAGGTATCAGCGGGTTTGGCTTCTTCTGAGGCCTCTCTCCTCTGTCTTGTCCCATTTCCTCACAGTCTTTCCTCTATACCTGTCTGTGTTCAATTTTCCTCTTCATATAAGGACTCTCATCAAATTGGACTAGAGCCCACCCTAACCGCCTCATTTCAACTTCGTTTCTTTTTAGAAAGCCTTGTTTTCAAACAGGGTCACATTCTTAGGTACGGGTGGTTAGGGCCTCAATCTATGAATTCGGGGGACACGTAATTCAGCCCAAAACAGTGATCATGGTAACGATGATGTGATGATGGTGTTGATAAGAATATGACCTGAAGTAAAGGACAACAGCTGGGGAATAGAAATTCACCCGGGCCCCTTCCGAGGTTTCCATCTTCACGTCTCCCCGTCTCTCACTTTCCATTTATCCTCCTCCTGTTTGGGGTGAGGTAAGCAGAGTTCTGTCTCTCCTCTGTGGACTTCATTCTTGTTCACCAAACCAGGGGCGTTAGGTGGGCTGAGGAGGTAGCATTGGGTTTGCCTATTTACAGCCACGACCAATATGGAATCCCTGCTTCTCCTTCCAAACGTTTTATCATCACCCATGATGACTTTGGATTAAACTAAATGTAAGGAACAGAACAGAGATTGTTACGTATGTACTTGCTCTTAAAAAAGTTAGCTGTTACAGTCTAATCATTCATTTCCTGAAATACACGTGAATAAGTTTGAAGACTTGATTGTACTTCAGTCATGTTTAATAGCTTAAGAGTTTTTGCTTTAGTCTGTAGAGCAGATGAGTTCTTACAAAATCCTCATCTAATTGCATTTGTGTCTTAGGTAGTCACATACTACACTGAAGAAGTCAGTGGCAAATTCTTCAGGTCACAACCATATCCATAGCCAGGACCCAATGTACCTGTTTACAAGCTCAGAGCAGTATACTTCACTTGGGGAAAGTAGGAGGTATTTCTGCCGTGTGAAAAGACCTGGATTTCATTCCCTGCTCAGCTCTGTGTTCTTGAGCCAGTTTTTCGTTTGCTTGCTTGCTTGCTTGCTTGTCTCTCTCTCTCAGACTCAGTTACTTACTGAGTACTTCACGGAGAGGGAGATAACCTCTGTACCAGCTTTATATCCAGCATGATGGTCAGTTACATAAAACAATGTTCATAAAGCACCAGGAACAGGGCTGGAGTCACATGAGGTCCGTGGTGAAGGTAGACTCAATAGGATTCCCCAGGTCAATGTTAGGGGGAGTTCTTTGCTGTCTGCCCTAACTTGCAATGAATGGCTAACCCTCCACATTCCTCACAGCCATGGTAAGAAGCAGGCAGGCTGGTTGGTACCAGGCTTGGAAATGACGTCTAAAGAAGCAAACTCAAGCCAGGGTGCATGTTCTCTGCAGCTACTCCTGCAGTCCCCCAGCCCCCGGGCTGCTTGAGGTGGTTTGTCACAGGGCCATCAACCCATCTGTTCTCTATAAAGCGTCCCCTTTTCATGAAGAGGAGACAGAGTCCATTTGCATGCTTTCAAAAGGAAGGAACCTTTTAACTTTCCAACGTGGTGACGTTTCCTTTGTGTGTGATTTATGGGTTGACAGCGAGTTGACATTGCACTTGATTTTAATAAAGAATTGTGGCTTTGGAGCCAAGTGTGCCCACGTGCACGCTCACATTCCCGTCCACACACGTTTCTCATTGAGATGTGCCGGTTGGACACAGCGGTAATTAAAGTGGCAAGCGGAGGATCCTCAGAAAGCAGGATGCTCTGTGTCCTCCTTTCCCAACAATCTTTTCAGAATGCTTCCCTGGGACCAGATTAACAGGGAAGTGGAAACAAGTTTCTTCTCTGGTGACACCCTATCATTGAATTGCCCTGAACATCTTGTCAAATGCCCTCACGTGCATTCTTTGATTTTTCCTATCAACTCTGTGAGGAAGACAGGAGAAGTTATCATATATCCCCATAGATTAAGTTCCTACAATGTGGCAGTGCCAGGATGTAAACCCAGTGTATTCAGTCATCAGTCATCCAGGGCGCACCTAGTGTGTGCCAGGCAGCAGCGGGGACAGGAAAGGCCAGGCTGGGTGTTTCTGCCCACAGCATGCCCTGGTCTTCAGGAAAGGAGGGTTGGGGTTGTGATGCATTGTGGTACATTTCACGTTGGGAGTTCGCACAGAATATTAGCGAGCAACAAGGAATGGCACCGTCACCGGCCATGGGAAGAAAGAATCCAGAGAAGGCTGCTTGGAGTAGGTTCCCATCAGTTTCGAAGTAGGAGGTACCCAGAGGCCTAGGGTAGGGAGCAGAGGAGAATATACTAGGCAGAGGAAATTAGATGCTTAAAAATATAAAGTTGATGGAGAGCGTGGATTGTCAAGAAACTGTGAGTCGTTTGGAATGCTGGGATAGAGGAGAGGTATGGGCGTGGCAGAGGGTGGGTGGGACTGGGGGGTCGGATTGGACCTTGCAAATATGCTAAGAAGCCTGGCCTTTATTGGGGAGGCAGGGGGAGCCGGTGATGGATATTTACATTCCATTTTAGAAAGGCCTCCAGCTGCAGGGTCAGCCACCTCGCCCACGGGCTCAGAACAAGAGGCCAGGGATGAAGAGGGGGCTGTGACATTTCAGCAGTTCAATGATGAAGGTTGTGCTAAGTTATTGGGGATGGAAAGAAAAGGGGTGAAAAAAATAGGTGGTTAAAATTATAGGCTTGATACTTTTATGTGGGCTATTTTATTGTCCTACTTTCTCCTCCTCCTTTATGGGCAGTCCCCTGCTTCCCCTTTCTCCAAATGAACCCACCCAATCGCCTTAACCCACCTGAAGCTGAAACAGGTGTCCTGGAACCAACCCCACATCCAAAACCGCCTCCAAAAGGAACCGGCACCAAATCAATATTTACATGGCTTGTGTTCCTGGCAGGCAGCTGGGTTTAATCCAAAACAAGCTTTGTGGTCAGAAACCACTTGAAAGAACAGAGAGGGAGAGGTTGCCGGTGCAGAGGGCAGAAGGAGAGAGAGCATCAGGCAGGTGGGAAGGAGGCTGCTCACAAGGGCAGTGTGCACCAATAATTGCATTGCCTCTTTCTAACTCTCTACCTTGGATTTCTTTCGTGGTAACTAGCTCTAAGAGTAAAGCATTAGTGGTGGCCACCCGTAGCCTCAAGGGTTTTAACTTTTTTTTTTTCATGCTCTTCCCTCAGCCGAGGTCCCCACGGGCGGAGTAATGGAGCTTCATCACACAAGTCTGGCAACAGCCCCCAGTCCCCACGGGAAAAGGACCTACTGTCCATGCTGTGCAGGAATCAGCTGAGTCCTGTCAACACCCATCCCAGCTATGCACCTTCTTCCCCAAGTAGCAGCAACTCGGGCTCCTACAAAGGAAGTGACTGTAGCCCAATCATGAGGTGAGTTCTGATCCTTTTTCAATTCAGGGTTCCTACATGGTACGTTTTCCTTAAAAAAAAAGTTACGCAACTCTTATTCTGCAACAAGATACTTCTCTTTCCCACACACAGCTCATTGTTTAAGTGCTGCTGCCAAAAGAACGCAAGCCACAATCTCTCCTAAGTTTCGGCGATCCAAGTAGGGGGTGGGTAGGGAGAAAAACGGCATCACTCACATGTCCCTTGACATACCAGTTACATATTGAGTACCACATGGTGCCAGGTACCATGTGATGTGCTGGGACTAGAGCATGGAGCAACAGAGCTGGGCCCTGGGTGCACCACCCCAGAGGAGGAGGACCTAACTCATCTCACGACAAGAACTCACTGAGATGATTCTGCAAGCATAAGGTGGCCAGGGCTCCAGCGCTGCGGGGACCAGAAGAGGCCTCGCTGAAAAAGTGAAATTGAAGTGAGATCTGAAGGTCACACAAGGAATGAGTTAGTCCTTGAGGGATTGGTGTGGGGAGGCAGAAAGAAGGAACTGCCCATCCAGAAGGGCCAGGACAGGAGGGACGGAGGGCTGGGTGCTGGACGCAGGCCCTCTTGGCTGGAGGGCAGGCTCAGGGAACAGGGCGAGGGCAGTGGCTTGGGTTGGGGCCACAGCCAGGGAAGAAGCTGCCAGCCGACCTCCCTCAGCCCCTTCCTCTGGGCGTCTGTCCTCACCAGTCAGCTCTCGTACAGCCTGACCGGGGCCAGGTTCCAGCTCCTGGTAGTTTGTAGGACATCAGGCACCTCTCTTACCAAACACACTCAGTCTCGTTCCTGTCAGGAGGAGGAAACTGCCCACCGAATCAGCACACTCACTCCAGGGACTGGTTTCAGAACAATTTGAATTCAACGCCTAACAATTGGGATCTTAGGGGCACATTGTGTGGCAAGTTAGGTCATCTCGCTCCCTTGCTCCCTTCCTTCCCTCCCGCCTGCCCTCTCTCATTGTCCTTTAACATAAAACGGCCTGCTCCTCTGAGCTGGACCATTGTGTATTAATTCATCTGAGATCACTCAGAAGCCAGAGAAAATCCTCCCTCTCCCCTGTCACCCTCCCCACACACCACCGGGACATTCCACGTAATGAACATCCTAAGGCTGGCAGGTAGATCACCATCCCCTTTCATGGCGAGGCCACACGTTACGGAGGTTTAAGATCCCAACACACAGTCACCACTTCTTCTCAAGCTCTTCCCTGGGCCTCCATGGGCCTTTTTTATACTAAACGTAACGTTCTGTTGCTTGGGCTGTTTCAGGCGGTCTGGAAGATACATGTCCTGCGGTGAGAATCACGGGGTCAAGCCCCCCAATCCGGAGCAGTATCTGACTCCCCTGCAGCAGAAAGAGGTGACGGTGAGACACCTGAAGACCAAGCTGAAGGAATCGGAGCGCCGACTCCACGAGAGGCGAGTCCCAGTTCCTTGCACACTTAAGGTGGCTTAGGGCATTTGTTGTGTTGTTTTTTTCCTTCTTCTTCTTCTTCTATACAATGAAATATGAAACCACACTGTAGAAAATTGGAAAAGAAGAAATGTGACTTCATCCCTGTCATATTTCATAACCCAGTCTCTCAGAAGATGCGGCTGTGTCCGGAGTTCAGGGGACCCTCCTTCGTTAGAGGGGACCGCCTCCCTGCTCTGGGTGTGAGCAGCTTGGACAGGGGGAGCTGGGTGTGTGCCTGACTATTTTTAAATGGCAGGAACACTCAGAGGAACAATCCATACTTCCAGCCCAATGGGTCACACACGGGGAGCCCCTCGTAAGCTCTGTTTATATCAGTGAGGGAGTGGATGGCTGTGTGCACCGTGATTCCTGCCGGCTATTTCTGTGCTGAAGGAAGAGGTTCGTTATTCTTGGCCAAGTGCTAAGGTAAAAAGCGAAACAAAGCAGCCCATGTTTAGAGATCTTATCTGGGAGAGAAGAGACCTTTGACGATTTGAGCAGATGAGATTCTCTGCTTGATGGTTTTCCCCTGGAACATCTTAGGATGGATGGGCAGAGCTCCAGCCAGGGTAGCTGTGAACCCCGGGTGAGGTTGCCCAGAGTCAGACCCTACTTTCTGGAAGTCTTTGGGGGTGTGACTGGAGGAAACCGTGTGAGGGTTTGAACAGTCATGGGAGGGAGATTATTCAATCCTAAACTTAAAGCAGCAAAACTGACACCATATCTTCAGATATGTCAAGGGGGTGCACCCAGCCATCCACTCTCTCACAGAAATAAATAGAGCTTACGAGGGGCTCCCTGTATATGACCCATTGGCTGGAAGTATGGATTGTTCCTCTGAGTGTTCCTGCCATTTAAAAATAGTCAGGAACACATCCAACTTCTCCTCTCAAAGCTGCTCACACCCAGAGCAGGGAGGCAGTCCCCTCTAACAAAGGAGGGTCCCCTGAACTTCTGAAACAGCCATACCCCCATCGTGGGGCATATATATATAGATATATATCTATATATATATCTATATATATCTATATATATCTATATATATATATATATATATATATATATATATATATACACACACACACACACACATATTCTTTAAAGTGAAATGGACTTTCCTTCTACAAACTAACTATCTATCTATCTATCTATCTATCTATCTATCTATCTATATGAAAGGCTAATATGCAAAATGTCCCCTTAGGTATTCAACCAAGAGACTGGGAGTATAATCGCTCACTATGATGTGTGCTGACCACCTGGGGGTAGTGCAGAACAAAGGAGGGCCCTGGCTGGCAGCCAGAAGGCCCCAATCGGCCCCGATTGTTGACCAGACCTAGGGACCCTACTCATGCGTGAATTTCATGCACCAGGCCTCTAGTAGGTATATAACAGGATAACTGAGAGACTCTAATGTGTTCTAATAATAAAATTTTAAATATTAAGGTTAGGCTTTTTAAAAAATATATTGTCATTTATTGTAGAGAAGAAGAAGAGAGGGAGAGAGATAGAATCCATGATGAGAGAGAATCATCAACCAGCTGCCTCCTGCATACCCCCTACTGTGGATTGAGCTCACAACCCAGGCATGTGCCCTGACCGGGAATCAAACCGTGACCTCCTGGTTCATAGGTTGATGCTCAACTACTGAGCCATGCCAGCCAGGCTCAAATATTAAGTATTGAATAAGGTAGAATGCTTGTAAAATACTTAATGCAATGTCTGACATGTAGTGATGCTCCACAAAGGGGGGGGGGGGGAACAATAGGAGTGTTTTTTATTCTGACTCTAGTTATTAGAATTATTTTAGCCATGTTACAGTTGAGGGTGGGCTTATTTATGGGTATTAACCTGGGAAAGAAAAAATGCTCAAAACTGGCTTCACGTCTGTGCTCCAAGCGGAAGAGCCCGGTCTCTGGCCTGGGCGTCAGCTGGCTCCGAGATGCCGTTCTCTCAGCCTCGTGGGTCTGCTCCTCTTCTCCCTGCAGGGAAACGGAAATCGTGGAGCTGAAGTCCCAGCTGGCCCGGATGCGGGAAGACTGGATTGAAGAGGAGTGCCACCGGGTGGAGGCCCAGTTGGCCCTCAAGGAGGCCAGGAAAGAGATCAAACAGCTCAGGCAGGTCATCGAGACCATGAGGAGCAGCCTGGCCGACAAAGACAAAGGCATTCAGCAGTACTTCGTGGACATCAACATTCAGAACAGGAAGCTGGAGTCCCTGCTGCAGAGCATGGAGCTGGCGCACAGCGGCTCCCTGAGGGATGAGCTGTGCCTGGACTTCCCCTGCGAGTCCCCGGCGAAGAGCTTCCCCCGAGACGCCCCCGTGGGCCAGACGGCGGATGGGATGTCGGTGGAAGAGCAGGTGACGGAGGAAGGGGTGGACAGTGAGCTGCTGGTGGGAGACAGCGGCGTGGATGGCTCGGATCTGTTGGATGAGCTGGCCACGGCCACCGACACCCAGGCGGATGACCTGGAGCTGCTGCATTCCACCCCGGGGGCAGAGGCCCTGGCGGTCATCCCCACGGAGGCAGGTCTGGAGGAGGAGGGCCGCGTGGTGGTGGTGGTGGAGCGGGCCGTGCAGACCGACACGGTGCCCTCCGGCCCCGCGGTGTCCGAGCTCATCCAGTACATGCTCCAGCTGCAGGACCCCTCTGCCTGGCGCCCGGCATCGCCTTCCGAGTCAGCGGCTGACTCCACGGAAAGCTTCCCGGAGTCCATCTCCGCCTTGATGGTGGATTTAACTCCGAAGAGCCCAAACTCGGCCATCCTTTTGTCTCCCGTGGAGACCCCCGACGCCACGGTGCAGACGCAGGCCCCTGCAAATAGCCTCATGCGAGAGCTGGACTTTGCAGGCTGCACAGGGGAGAGGTTGGACGGCGTCCCCCCGGGGGCCGCGGGGAGGCAGTACTGGAGCCGCAGCTTCCTGGTGGATCTCCTGGCCGTGGCTGCCCCCGTGGTGCCCACCGCGCTGTGGGCGCTCAGTACTCAGAGGGGGGGCACGGGTCCCGTGTACAACATCGGGGCCCTGCTCCGGGGCTGCTGCGTGCTGGCCCTGCACTCGCTCCGCCGCACGGCCCTCCACGTGCAGACCTAGAGGGCGGCGGCGGCGGTTCCGCGGGCCAGGGGGTGGCAGGCGGTGTGGTGCCAGGCGGGGAACCTGGTGCCGGGGGTGGTGGGGGAGGAGAAGCAGCAGGTCCACCCGGGCTGGTCTGTGTTCTGTCGTGTTGCTCCTCGGTGTTTGATTTGCACTATGTTTAGTGGAAGCCCCTTCCGTGCGGAGGGCCGGAGGTACCTTCCGAAGGCATGGAAGACCTGGTTCCAGGCAAAAGCCCCGCCCGTGTGGTGTAGAAAGCATGCTCGTGACCGTGACCCTGCGTGTCGTCAGAGGTGCCCGCTCTTACCCTGGTGGTTCCGGAAGAGAAGATGCAAAAGTTTGCACTTTTCCAGACAAGCTTCTGTCCTGCCGGCATGCCACCTCCCTGCTTTGCTTCGTGCTGTGTTCCGATGTGTGACTGCTCCAGCATCCCCGGTGGTCTTGTGCGTAGCAGGGGACTGCAACCAAAAAATGAACGTGTTATTTGCGTCCTGGGTTTGAAGAAGTCTTGGCTAATCCTTTAGTGTCTTCATTGGGGTTGGTAAGGTTCGAGTGTTTGCCGTTTTCTACTAAATGTAGCTCCAGAGTCTAAAGATGGCTTTGTTTGTTCTTAAAACTGTTAATTGATGAACTGTCTATAAGTTTACAGTGTATTAACTTATTTTTTGTTGTTGCTTATTATAGATAGCGTTTTATTGGAAATTGTTTGTAACCAGACACTTCGGCATGACAAAAATAAAGATTAGTGTTTACAGTTAAATAAATGTTTTATCCCCCTATAAAATTATGATCTCTGCAGTTTTATTTTGATAGGTAAAAGATTAAATGAGTAGCAGATCCTTGCATGGTTATCAATAGTGGTCTGTGAAAATGGGATATATTTTATCTACTATGCCTTGGTTATTGCTCATCCTCCACTAAAATATTAACTCTTTGAGGGCAGGAATCCCTGTTCTATTTTGTTCATAAATTATACCAAGAATTTAGGACAACATAATGCACATAGTAGGCGTCATGTCCACGCTGACAGGAGCCAGGCTAAGAGACATGAGTGTTTAAGAGATGTTACTACATTCTCGTCTCAGCCCTTCTGCTCACAGATGTAACAATAAATTTGTAAGTTTTGCTTTTTAATTTCATTCAGCCTGGTTCCTCTCAGCATCGACTTAACAGTGGGGATTTTAGCACTAGCTGTTAAATTAATTTATCCAACAAATTCTTATTGGGTGCTCACATGCTAGGCACTTTACCGGCTTGGTCTTCAGTAGTGGAGGATTCTGTTTCTTCTTTGAGAGGTCTTAAATTCTGCCTGTAAATGACATAAAATATGCCAACAAGATCATTTTAAATAGCAGTAAGTGCTTCCAAGGAGATAAACAAGGTGAAGGAAAGGAAACATTAGCACTGATGGGTGAAAAAGGAGCCCGTCACATGAAAATATGGCAAATAAAATAACAAATGCAAAGGCCAAGAGGCAGAGGAGGGCTCGGCATCTTATATGGGCTTCAAGGCGGCCAGTGGCTGGAGCAGAGTGAAGGGGAAGGGGAGGTCTGGAGAAGTGGACAAGAAGTCCAGGTGAGTAATTATGACAATTTGGAGGTGGATATATTGAGCACCTGTGTCAATGGTGGTGCCATTTGCTGAGAGTATAAAGAGATCGAGAAAAACAAGTTTGGGAAAATAAATTTGAGGTGTCTATTAAACACCTGTGTGGAAATGTCAAGTGAGTAATTGCATATATACATGAATGTGAAAATCATGGGAGTTGTCAGGGCTAGAGCTTTAAAATTGGGGTTCCTCAGCCTTTATTTACTATTTAAAACCATGGAATGGATGAAATCATCCAGGGGGAGTGTACAGAAGAAAGGAAGGCCAAAGACTAAGTCTGGGGCACTTCCACATTTAGATAGAGGATGAAGACCCTCCTTTGAGCTGATAAAAGGCAGCTCAAAGATAGGGAGTTAAACTAGTGAATGTAATATTATGAACACCAAAAGGGAGAGTGATTCAAGAGTGGACCGGTCAATTGTGTTGAAATCCTTCCAAGAAGTTGAGTAACGTGAGAACATATACATTTACATTGGCTTTGTCCACAGAGTCTTAGTGACTGTCAAGATCATTTCTTTGGAGAAAATGGACATGGAAACCAGATTGAAGTGGGCTGGAGAGTGACCAGAAGAAAGTAGAAATAGATGCATGCAGCTAATTTTTTTTTTTGGGGGGGGCTACGTTTTACTGAAGGGGGTATAAGGACGAAGGCGGTAGTTACAAGGGCATATGGATACAGGGGTTTGTTTTAGTTTTCACTATTGAGAGGAGATAGAGCACATTTATACACTTGGTGATTGAGCCAAAGAAGAGGAAGAAATTGACCTAGGAGAGAGGATTAGCTGAAGGAGAGGAGCCCAGGGCAACATGAGAAGGAATGGGACGTAGGGCAGGAGGATGTGCATGTGGGAAGATGGATTGTCTGGGAAAGGGCATCGCTTCCATTGGAACACACATGGGCACTCAGCACACAGCCGTGCAGAGACCTGGCTGAAATGGGATGGAAACTATTTTGGGAGGTGAATAACCGGAACTGTCCCAAAATAATGAGCCATGCTGACTCAGGTCCCTTCCTGTAGTCCAGCCCAAACCAATACCTACAAGCTGTTATCTTCTTTACAGTTCCTCCTTATGTTTATTTTTAGTCATTGCTAAATCCACCCATATTTACTTTAGGAAAAATTATAAGGGTGTTTTTGGTCTCCACTTGTTGCTACAGAAATGAATGTAACCACACACAAATTCAGCACTATTCTTTATCAAATCAAAATGGATGGAGAGATGGGCGCTGGTAAAGAAGGAGATGGGGAGCATTATGCTAAGTGAAAAGCCAGACAAAGATAAATATCACATGATCTCACTTATTTGTGGAATATAATGAACATAAACTGATTTAAAAAATAGGTCCAGAGACAGAGAAACATCAATCAGAACATCAAATCTCAAGGAAGGTAGGGGACAGTGGGGTTAAGGGGAAGAGATCAACCAAAGGACTTATACGCATGCATATGAGCCTAATCAATGGACACAGAAAACAGAGGGGTGGGGCATGAATAGGGGGTGGGGAGTAATGAAGGAATAAAGAAACATATGTAAAAAAAATAATTTAAAAAATTAAAAAAAAAATTGTGAGGTAACCAGAACTCCCCCCTTCCCCCCGCAAAAAAAAAAAAAAAAGAAAAAAAAGAAAAAAAAAAGAAAAAATTCTCTATGAAACACAAATCTTTTTGTTGAATATCAAATTGGAGGCAGCTGATCATGAAGAGCAAATTGTATTTTTGTCTTAATGATTGCATCCTTGTCTAAACCAAATGATTCAAAGTTAACTGCATATTCTACCCACACTGAAACAAGTTGTGCAAAGATAAAACCAGAGGTCCTGGAGCAGCTACTGAGCTTTCCTGCCCCACCCCCACCCCCACCCCAGCAGTTACTCGGTTTTTCTTTTTCTCTCCTGCCACCACCACCGTTCCCAAGGTTTCAGTATGTATGCTAGCAGTCTGTGGAAAATTACTGCTTTGGCTCACAACGGTCTCTCACAAGCGAGTCCCTTGGAGTAAATACAAGATGCAGCATAGCTTGCCCTTTGAAAGCCCAAGGCGTTGGCTGCTTCTGTGGACAGGATGATCTGACCTCAGAAAGAAGTGCCTCTGCGTTGCTTCCCGTAATTTGGATGCCTGTGATGCACAAGCAGGCAGGAAAATGGAAAAAAAGAACAAATCACTCCACTGAACACACTGCTGTCCCATCAAAGCAAATGTTAAACATTCCCGACAGTTACGTGTGCAAACATTCCAATTTATAAGAAAAGATTTTTTTTCCCCAAAGGGATCTGGTGACCTTTCCAAGGGGAGCTGTTCAGAAAGGGAGGGGGAAATGCAATGCGCTCGGATGCCAAGCGTTTCTGACATTTGGGCAGGAGAAAAAGGAAGTCTGTGATTTGCATTTGTCATCGGCCCTCCCTAAGTAGCGGTTGGGTCTGATGTGTTTTTCTTTTGAGGATTTTTCATTTTAAAAGTCTTTGGGGTAGTTTCTGACTTCTATTTTGGCTCCGTGAGCACTTTTACAAAATTCACTTTCTTCCGGTCTTACCTGGCAACATGTATACAAGGAAGCAGTAACCTAGGCAACGAAACACAGCAATGTATAGCAACGAAGACTTGAAAGAATGCCAACAAATTCCCAGTTGTTGCAAAGAAAAACAATTAGAAAGTCCAAATAGAATAAAAAAAAATTATGTCAAGTCGTTATGTGTAAATCCCTGGAAGAGATGCTGGGCTGTGACTACTGATTCCCCCACACTCACAATGATCGTGATAAATAATGGTTATAACCATGATTCCACAGAATTTCAAATTCAGAAGGTTTAACTGTGTTAAAAGATTGGAATATTTCAGTAGTGTTTAAAGTTTGTACAAGTTGTGTTTCTTAAAAATATGCATTCAACATTAAACAAATCTCCAATATATAAAACACATCAGTTTTTTGAAAACTGCCAGTTCAGCCCTGGCTGGGTGGTTCAGTTGGCTGGAGCATCATCCCATAAACTAAAAGGTTGCAGGTTCGATTCCCAGTCAGGGCATATACTTAGGTGGCAGGTTCCACCTCCTGTAGGGACAATCAATGTTTCTCTCTCCTTTCCTCTCTCTCTAAAAATAAATTTAAAACTATTTTTATTGATTTCAGAGAGAAAGAGAGAGGAGAGAGGGAATAGAAACATCAATGATGAGAGAATCATTGATTGGCTGCTTCCTGCACGTCCCCCATGGGGTCGAGCGTGCAACCAGGGCATGTGCCCTTGACCAGAATCGAACCTGGGACCCTTCAGTCCACAGGCCAGTGATCTGTCCATTGAGTTAAATAGGTTAGGACTGAAAATATATATTTTTTAAACATATCCTTGGGTGAGGATTTAAAAACAACTGCCACTTCATGTAAGATCTCCTGGGTTG